TTTTTTTGGGGGGGGGGGGGTTTAATGGGGGGGGGGGGGAGTCTCCTGATTCTTAAAAAGGTGGAGGGAATCTGAGCATCTGTGGCATACATTATACTATATCGTTTTTTACTGAGGTAAAGTTCACATCACATAAATCCAACCGTTTTTAAGTGAACAATTCAGCGATTTAGTATGTTCACTAGGTTGTGCAATCACCACCTTTATATAGTTCTGAGACATTTTCGTTTCCCCAAACAGAAAACCTGTACCCATTAAACAGTTGTTTTTCACTCCCCTTTTCCACTTTCTAGCCCCTGTCTGGATTTTCCTATTCTGGATATTTCACATAGATGGAATCCTCCAATATGCAACCTTCTGTGTCTGGCTTCTTTTAATGAGCATAATGTTTTCAAGGTCTGTCCATATCGTAGCATGTATCACTACTTCATTTTTTAAATGGCTGAATAATATGCCATTGTACGGATAGACTACATTTTGTTATTCATTCGTCCTTTAATGAGCGTGTAGACTACCCTCCTCTTTTGGCCACTGTGAGTAGTGCTACTGTGAACATGCATGTATATGTGTTTGTTTCACTACCTGGCCAGAGTTCTTTTTAATATATACATAGGCATGGAATTATGGGGTCATATGATAATTCTTTGTGTTATGTTTTGAGAAACTGCAATTTTTTAAACTTTCTAACCGGAAAATTAAATACATAAACCAAATGATTCAATTACTTAAGCTCTCCCTTTGGTTTCTCAACACGCTTGGAAGAAAAACCAAGATTTAAGTCTAGCTTAGAAGGCACTCCGCTTGATCCATGGGCTCATCTTCTCTCCCTCAGCCTCATCTTTTACTACTGTTTCCTTCTCTCACTCACTCCATGTCTGATGGTCTGGGAGTCTCTGCCCTTAAGTCTCTCTCAGCCAGGAAAGCTCCTACACCTCAGATTTCCATGCAGCTGCCTTTGCCCTTCAGGACTCAGATCAAACATCTGTTCCTTAGTGAGAATTTCATCAGGAAAAACTGTGAAAGAGTTTTCTGAATATGTTAATTAGCTTCATTTAGTCTACCCACAGTGAATACATGTATCAAAACATCATGTTGTACACCATAAATATACAGAATTTTTATTCGTCAATTAATAATTAAGAAATTCTTGAATGTCTTTGCAGTGGAATGTTGGGCAGTGTCTAGCAGACCCTTCAGGAACTATTTATTTGGTTATCTCCGACTAGGCTATTTTATGACTCTGTAGATACAGAAGTTAACCTGTAGAGAACTGACAGTAATGCAGTTATTTTCTGTCCATAGCTAAGCAAACAATTACTGTTCATGGCAATGCAAATTATTTGTTACTTACAGCATATAAATACCTGTAGGTCAAATGCTCATTTGAACCATGTTAACATCTTATTGGTTCTCTCATTAGTTAATACGTTAAGTAAAATCTTTGACATGTGAAAAAAAAATTTCCAACTACGTAATCTAAAGTAACCCCATGTCCCTCACTCTCTTACTATCTTGTTTCCTTCTTAGCATTTACTACCTGCAACAATCCTAAACTTTTGTGGTTTTTAACTGTGGTAAGATATACATAAAATTGACCATCTTAACCATTTTTTTCTTTTTGGCAGCTGGATGGTACAGGGATTGAACCCTGGACCTTGGTGTTATCAGCGCCATGCTCTAACCTACTGAGCTAACTGGCTAGTCCTCATCTTAACCATTTTAAGTGTATAGTTCAATGTGTTAAATACATTCACGTTGCTGTGAAACCTTTACCACCACTCATCTCCAGAACTTTTAATCTTGTAAAACTCAAATTCCACATCCATTAAACACTAAATTCCCTATTTGCCCTTCCCTCAGCTCCTGGCAACCATCATTCTACTTTCCATCTCTATGAATTTTCTTATTGTGGGTACCTCATATAAGTGGAATCATACTTTTGGGTCTGGGCTTATTTCATTTAGCATAAAGTTTTCAAAATTCACCCATGTTGGGCATGTATCAGAATTTCATTCCTTTTCATGGCTGAATAATATTCCATTGCATATATGTAGCACATTTTGTTTATCCATTTATCCACTGATAGACATCTGGGTTGCTTCCATCTGTCAGCTATTATTGTGAACGATGCTGCCATGAATATGGGTATACAAATATCTCTTTGAGCTGTTACTTTCAATTCTTCTGGTCTATACCCAGAATGAAATTGCTGGATCATACAGCAATTCTGTTTTAAGTTTTTTGAGCGTAAGCCTTTGTATGTTATCTCTCCATCCTCCCCAACCAACTAAAAAGTAAGCTCCAGGGTACCAGGCACCTTTCCTCTATCTCCTATGTCCCTGTATCCCCAGCATCCAGCAACACACTCAGAACACAGTGAAATTCATTGATTGAATAAATACCTGGTCATCAAGCCATGATCTTAACTGCTGTCAGGAACTGCTTCTCTACCAACTAGCTTGCCTATAAGAGAAGCAAGTTTGTATCTCAAAAGACAATTGCTAGGGACTTACCCAATTATTTGTAGACTAGACTTGGGGTGTGCAAAGGCTGAACACAGCTTCACCATTCCTGCAGGACTGAAGTTATTCCGCACCAGATTTAGACTGGTCAGGTGCCGGTTGCAGGAGAGGGCCAATGAAAGCGTCTCACAGCAGTCAGAAGTTAATTCACATGCCTCCAACCTGTAGGGACAGACACCCAAGAAATAACCTCAAAGATCAATGATAGATCCTTCATTCAACCCATGTGAATTTTACCTGATGTTAGGGGGGAAAAAATAAAGAGTGTTGGGCTCCACCCCCAGAGTTTCTAGCTCAGTCGTTCTGGGGAGGGACCTGAATATTTGCATTTGTAACAAGTTCCCAGGTGATGGCACTGCTGTCGGTTCTCACTTTGAGAGCTGCTGGGTGACTCAAGTTATAGCTGTGGAAAAAATAAAACAAAGGCTGAGAGAGTCTGTAACAAGGGAATGTAACAAGGAACATGGAGAAAGACTTGCTGGGAAAGTGACATTGAACCAAAAACTGAAAACTGAGGAGTGAGCTATGTGAAGGGAAGATGTACTGATACACAGATATAAGAAACTGTACATACACCACCCTTGTGGGAAAAAGTGGGGCACATCTGAGAAACAGAAAGATGACTAGATGACCAGGGCAGTCAGAGATAGTATTAGAGGAAGCTGGACATGTTAGGTCATATTAAGGATTTAATACTAAGAATAATGGAAAGCCAAAGAACATCATTAAGCATAGTAATGGTGGTGGACAGTAGTGTTCTGGTATTTCCAGAGGTGCATGTTGAGGTCCAGATGGTCCCCAACTTACAATGTTTCAACTTAGACTTTTCAGCTTTGTGATGGTGTGAAAGAGATGCATAGTCAGTAGAAACCGTATTTCAAGCACCCGTATAACCATTCTGTTTTTCACTTTCAGTGCACTATGCAATAAGTTACACGACATATCCAACACGTTATTATAAAACAGGTTTTGTGTTAGATGATTTTGCTTAACTATAGGCTAATATAAGTGTTCTGAACCTGTTTAAGGTGGGCTAAGCTAAGCTATAATGTTTGATAGATTAGGTGTATTAAGTGTATTTTCAACATATGATAATCTCAGCTTCCAACAGGTTTATCTGGATACAACCCCACTGTAAATCAAGGAACATCTGTATTTTTAGAGATGCATGTTGAGGTATTTTGAGGTGGAATATCAAAATCCATAACTTTATGAAATAGTTCACCAGCTAGAGCAAAACACTGATGATTGTTTAAACTAGACGGTGAGTGTATACGTTTTGAATATCCTAATAATTCTAGATTTTGTGTATTTTGGAATTCTTATGATAGAGTAAAAAGTTTATGAGTGTAGCTCAAGTTGTTTTAGCCACTTATAGCTTGATGATGAAATGAGATTGAATGAAATCTTACTTTTTGGTTTTGCTAAAATATTATGCAAGTATTTATAAAGACAGAATATCCAGTTGAGAGGCTGAGGCAGAGGCAAGGGGGAGATAAATCATGCTATAAGCTGCTGCATGAACAGGTGATTGCATGATCCCCAACATGGATAAAATTAGCCTCTGGTTAACATGGGTGAAGTTAACTAATGTAGGGATGCTTCCTTCATTGCTACAGAAGGAAGGGCATGTCAGTGCAGATACTAGCCGGTCTCTTGGTAGGAAGTTTAGAGCCTTCCTATTAAATGGTTTTATATTTATTTGAGGGGAGTGGGGTCATTTATTAAGTGCCAGGGAGAACAAGGTAGGTCCAAAAGTTTCCAAAGAATGGAGATGGTTTGAAATCATTCTTTCAGGGAGTGGGGAAAACAAGTTAACCAGAAAAATGTAATACTGGCGAGACAGAAATTTACATCAGTCACTACTGACTACACATGATTATCAACTTACCCTTGTGTTTTTTTGTTTTTGTTTTTGTTTTTGATCCTGCAGTTCTCAGCTACCTAAGTGCAGGTGCTGGCAAATTGGACTCACTGAAGCTCGGAATATTTGCAGGTGGATACACCCAGTATAGAAGGCTGGAAACAACTAGTCTACTTTCTGTCTCTTTGGATTAGAATATTCTGAAACCACTAGTCTACTTTCTATCTCTTTGGATGAGAATACATCTTATACAAACAGAATTACACCCCATGTGACATTTTGTGTCTGGCTTTTCACTTAGCGTAATGTTTTCAAGGCTCATCCATGTTGTAGCACATATCAGTGCTTCATTCGTTTTTACAGCTGAACCATATTCCTCCGTATTGAAGCACTCTGCTTTAACAAGTCCATGGGTGATTCTGATGCTCGTTTCGAGAACCACTAGTGTAATCACTTGCTTTTTGTTCACCTTTCTCACTAGATCATATATGCCCCCATGCCAAGGTCTTATTCACTTCCATACTTCTACCATTTAGCACCATGCCTAGCCCGCAGAGGTTGTTCAGTGAATATTTGAGGGCTTTCTTTTTTTTTTTTTTTTTTTTTTAAAGATGACCGGTAAGGCGATCTCAACCCTTGACTTGGTGTTGTCAGCACCACGCTCACCCAGTGAGCCAACCGGGCATCCCTATATGGGATCCAAACCCGGGGCCTTGGTGTTATCAGCACCGCACTCTCCCGAGTGAGCCACAGGCCGGCCCATTTGAGGGCTTTCTACCTTTAGACCTTGTTCTCAAGCATTTTCTGTTTCATTCACCTCATACATAGATGCTGAGTTGGAATTTATAGCCAGATCTGTTATTCTACCAAGACTCTATTTTGTCTAACTTGATAGAGAGTCATGAAAACCAGAACATCCTCCTTGTTGAAGCAATTTCATGCTTGGGTCCCCCTTCCTCTGAGCCTGGCCCTCAAAGAGGTGATCCCAGGACTTCTCTGCTCTTCCCACACTCATTATGGTGTCGACACACCGACTTACCCAGAGTACCCACTGGAAAAACAAGCATCAGGTGACCCTCAAACTAATTTTTGGTTCCAGTCTCCCCGCTCATATATCTCTTGAATTTCTAGGAACCCCAGACCCCAATACAATAGGGTTGATCCCAAACAACTATGAGAAACTTACTCTAGGTCCTGGAGCTGACAAGATGGGTCCCTCATGACCTCGCAGAGAAGTTTCATCCCACTGTCTTCCAAGGGGTTCATGCTAAGGCTCAGATGTGTCAGACGTGTGTTACCCATGAGTGCAAGAGCAAGAAAACCACAGCCCGGTACGTCGAGGTTGCACTGGTTTAGCCTGTGACAAGCACACAAGGGAAAGAGGAAGGTCAAACTTGTTCCTTGGTGTGACCTTGGGTCAGCTACTACTTTCTCTCCGTCTCAGTTTTATCCTCTGTAGGAAGGAGGTCATATTCGTATTTAAGATGGTTGTTAGGCTTAAATGACAGAATGATCATAAAATACTTGGCGCAGTGACTGGCATAATGCACTTGCTCGATGCTATTCAAGATTTTCTGAACTTTTCTTTATATTCACCGTATGTTTCCTATGGCTGCTATAACAAATGATCACAAAATTAGTTACATAAAACACAAATATATTATTTTACAGTTCCGGAGGTCAGAAATCTAACACAAGTCTCACTGGTCCAAAAATCAAGGTATCAGCAGGGCTGTATTTCTTCTGGAGGCTCTAGGGGAGAATCTGCTTCCCTGCCTTTTTCATCTTCTAGAAGCTACCCACGTCCCTTAGCTCCTGCCCTCTGTCCCCGCAGCCTGCAATGGCATCACTCTGACCTTCCTTTTCACATCTCCTGCTCCAATCCTCCTCTGTTTTTTTTTTTCCCTTATAAGGACTTTTATGACGACACTGGGGTCACCCAGATAATCCACCCAGGATAATCTCCCCATCTCAAGATCCTTAATTAAATCTACAAAGTCTTTTTCGCCATATAAGGTCACACATTCACAGGTTCCAGGGATTGGGATGTGGACAGCTTTTGTCATGGGGGGGCCCTATACTACCCACCATGTTCAGTATCTCCCCATAACTCATTCACTTGGGAACCTTGTTATAGCCTTTAACAGAATATCTGTTACATTAAGGTTATAGTCTCTAACTGAATTTCTGGCTACAGGTATACCACTAATGCACATAATTTTTTGTTTATATGAAGTTGTTGTTAGACTAACAGGTTAATGGGGATGGATGGCAGAAAGCAAAGTAACCCTAAGGCAGAGTAAGCTTATGGTATTGAACAGGAGTAATAAAAATTTCTCATTCTCACTGTCAAACCAAAAATTTATGATAGAAGAGTAATTTGGCAACACAAGAAATCAGTTTTTTTTTTTTCCTTTGTCTTTTTTCGTGACCGGCAACGGATCGCAACCCTCAGTGTTGCACCCGCACCTCGCTTAGCCAGTTCCTTTGTCTTTTTTTCGTGACCGGCAACGGATCGCAACCCTCAGTGTTGCACCCGCACCTCGCTTTGCCAGTGAGTGGCCGGTCTGTATGTGGGATCCGAACCCTCGGCGGGAGCGCCACTGTGCTCCCAAGCGGCGCACTGTAGCAGTGCGCCACCGGGCCGGCCCCGAAATTAGTTTTTAAAATGGTTATGTGGACACCTTGTGCTCCTTGGAGTCATGCAACACACAGTCTGTATGACTGTGGCTGTACGTCACTCTTACCTCCACCTGAAAATCTCATTCTCTCTCTCAGACCAGAATTTATGCTATGTAAAAATAGGGACCACATCCACGGTTTGTCTCTATATCACTAGTAACTAAGAGTGTTTACTTAATAAATACAATTGATCCTCATTATTTATGGATTCTGTACATATACAATTTCCTACTTACTAAAATTTATTCGTAATACCAAAAATCAATACTAATGGCACTCACGGTCTTTCTTGGCCATGCATGTGTACAGAGTAGAGAAAAATTTGAGTTGCCAGTGCTACATATTTTTCCCAGTTGAGGTTGAAATTGTCTGAGCTCTTACACTGTAAACAAGTACATTTAGGTATATTTAGTGCCATGTTTGTCAAATTTCTTTGCTTTTTGTTGGTGATTTTGTAGTTTAAGATTGCCCCCAAGATTAGTGTGACAGTGCTTTCTAGTGTTCCTAAGCATGAAGAGATTGTAATGTTTCTTACATATGTTAGATAAGCTTTGTTCAGGCATGGGTTACAGCACTGTTGGTCACAAGTTCAATGTTAATGTACCAACATGTATTAAATAAAGTGTCATTAAATAGAAACATGCAAAACAAGGTTAAGTATTGATCAGTTGATGAAAATATGACTGGAGGCTCATAGGAAGTTAACCCTGTATCTTCCTGCTATGATTTGAATGTCTCCTCCAAAACTCACATTGAAACTTAATCCTTAACGTGGCAGTATTGAGAGGTGAGGACTTTATGAAGTTATTGGGTCATAATCCATGAATGGATTAATCAGTTCACGGATTAATAGGTTATCACAGGAGTAGAACTGGTGGTTTAATAAGAGGAGGAGTGAGCCCGTGAACTCGCTCTTTTCCTTGTTGCCATGTGATGCTCTGCACCACCTCAGGACTCTGCAGAGTCCCACCAGCAAGAAGTCCCTTGCCAGATGCACACCCCTGACCTAGGACTTCCCAGCCTCTAGAACTATAAGAAATAAGCCTTACATCTCTTTTCTTTATCAATTACCCAGTTTTAAGTATTCTGTTATAAGCAACAGAAAAAGAACAAAGACACTCCCCACTACCCCTAGGGGCAATGACTCAGTATTGGCTAAATCAGTGTTCAAGGGTGACTTTGTAGAACACATGACCTCAAATTATGACAATCGACTGTATTTGAATAAATGATGGCTTCCTGCTGTAAGAAAACACAAAAGCAGAGGTAGAATTTTTCAAGGAAGAGTGAAATCCAGGAGATAATTAATAGGGATAAGATATATCAATCCCTTTATTGTAAAATTTCCATGCTTCCTTACTGCTTTGTGCTTTGAGAGCTACAACACACTATTTGTTAGAAAACTATGAAGTCCTCACAGGGAGGCGAGTCAGACTCACATCAGCCTCTGTAGACTACAGTTGGGAAGTTTTATGGATCGACACAACAGATTCACTCCTTCATTCCCCAGGTTGTTGTTTGATAGGCACAGGTGTGTCAAGCTCTGGTTGCTGACGAGGGCTGAGGCCAGAACCTGGCAGCCAACAGCTGTGAGACCACAGTTCTCCAGTCTGCAAAAAGAGAGCAACCAGAAAGGAAATGAGGTATATTCTTAAATTTTCATCTCTCCTTCCTAAGAAAAGGAAAGAAACAGCACTCCCATAGTTGACACGTCCTTGCAGATATAATAAATAATATTACATCATGTCTGCCTTTAGCTTGCAAACAATTCCAGTGCTTCAGCCCCCAAATAATACTCTAAATATCATGGGTGACTGGATCTCCCATCAATGACAATGGGAAACTAATGGGCAACATGAATCTGCTCTCAGCTTGGCTATTTTCAGTCTTCATGTATCCTATGGTGTAAGGCCTTGCTAAAGTGAGTGATTTTCCTATTTACAACTACAACATTTAACGCATCATAAACCTTAGACATAAACTAGATACTCCATCTGTTTTTCAAAGCTGAAGAAGCATTTTATGTGGCTTTGAGATGATTCAAAACTCGTACATAGTTCGCTACATGAGTGACATGTTTTGCTGAGACAAGAACTTGGAGTGTGCTCTCCCCTTCCCTCAAGAATGTGACATCAGCCTAATCAGACTCCAGACATCTTACTTTTTGTCGTGATGGAATGTTCTAGATCTACTCTGTCCAATATGGTAGCCACATGGCTATTGAGCACTCAGCACGTGGCTAATGCAATGGAGAAAATAGTTATAATTTTATGCATTTTTCCTTCTTTTATATCTAAATAGTCACATGTGGCTGGCAGCTCCTTTACTAGATAGGGCAGGAGACCACATTCAATGAGATGTAAACTGAAAGCCCAGCACCAAAAAGGGCTCAGAGTTATATTTTGTTTGGACCCCAAAGTATTTTTTAAAAGTGTTTGAGTTACTAGGAAATATTTAATAAGGCAGAAAATTTACACACAAAAATCAAATTTTGAGGTACACTTGAAAAAGAAAGCCTCGAGGTATGGCAATAGTTTGCTAGAATCAAGAATTCCAGTATCTGCCTTCCTCGGAACACTTCCAACTAATCTAACTCCTCTGATATTGGGCCAAAATTAAAAATCACCTAGAGATGCATTGTCCAAAATGGTAGCAACTGGCCACATGTGGCTATTGAGCACTTGGGATGTGTTAGTATGATTGAGAAACTGGATTGTTTTTTTAGTTGTAATTACGTATTTTATCTCCATTTTATCAGAGAAGAAACTGAGCACAGAGAAACTTAAGTGTCACATATATAGTAAGAAGTAGATCCATGGCTACAAACCAAGTCCTCATTAAAATTCATGTTTTCCCCACCACATGGAAATGATTAAATGTGAATTAGTATTTTGTCTTACTTTAGCCTGGGATTTTATGTTCAGTTTAAATTTAGAGAGCCACGCACAGCTAGTGGCTACCATATTGGATGGCACAGCTCTGGAGAATCCGCTGCTTCACCACTTGATAATGGTCCAACCGTGGATGAGTGATTTAGCCTTTCTGAAACTCTGAATTCTCATCTATCAATAGGGTTAACAACAGCACCAACTCCATAGATGTGTTTTGAGAACTAAGTGAGATAGGCATAGAAAAGTTTTAGCACTGTACTTGGTGCAGCTCAATAAGTGATAAATGATTGCTGTTAGTTCCTCCTTCCCCTCTCCCTCCATAGGGTAAGTGATATCCTTTTGTACAAAATATTACAGAGGTAGGAAGAATGTTCTATAGTAATATAGGGAGACTACAGCCAACCACAAAGTACCGTGTGTCTTTGAATAGCTAGTTGAGATGATGTTGAATATTCCTAACACAAAGCAGTGACAAATGTTTGAGGTGATGGACATACTAAGCACCCTGATATGATCACTACACACAGTACAAATGTACCCAAATATCATATTGCACTCCATAAATATATACAATTGTCAGGGGTCAATTAAGAAAAATAAAAAGAGGAGAAGAAAGAGTGGAATAGTGGTTATCAGAGGCAGGGAAAGGAAAGGGGGGGAGGGGAGGCCTGGGAAAGGTTGGAAGACTGGTACAAAGTTACAAAGTTACATTTGGATAGGAAGAATAAGTTCTGGTGCCCTAGGGTGACAACAGCTAATAATATTGTATTGTATATTTCAAGATAGCCAGAAAAGAGGATCTTGAATGCTATAACCACAAAAAAAAAATAACTGTTTAGGTAATAGATATGCCAACTATTCTGATTAGATCAATATACAATATATGAAGGTATTAAAACAAACCATACCCCATGGACATATGCAATGAAAAAAGAAAAGTGATATCCTTTTGGACCATTAGGCATTCACAGCAGTTCGAAATAACTGTTTAGGTAATAGATATGCCAACTATTCTGATTAGATCAATATACAATATATGAAGGTATTAAAACAAACCATACCCCATGAACATATGCAATGAAAAAAGAAAAGTGATATCCTTTTGGACCATTAGGCATTCACAGCAGTTCTGCATTTCTCCTTTGTGTTTTCACATGGAAGCTCTTCTGCTAGAATAACATGCCTGGATTTGTTCCTACACTTGGCTCCCTCTTCTCCATAGCAGCAGGTAAGAGTTATTTACTTTAGTGTGAATGCTACTCTGCTCAGACCCTGCTTCTTTTTGAGCCAGTCTGTGCCCAGAATGCATGTGCTCTGGTCTGGACTTTGCTGGGAAGTAAGGATCCTGCCCCAACAATCTCTTTCAGTAACTGGGTGGGTAAATTTTTCAATTGTGGAGTCAAGTATTAACAAACCCATTTAGCCACATATATAAGCCTCATGCTCCCAGAGGGCCTTCTCAGTAAGGAAGATCATTGGTTCTTTTCCATCTGGCTGGTTCCTGCTCCCATCTTTTATATCAGTTTAGAGTTCAGTAGCAAAGGTAGAGGTTTTTTGTTTTTCCTATATACCAACATTGGGACATTCTCATGAGGTTACAAGTTCTATTTTCAGTCTTGGCTTATGCACCGGCTAATTCCCCTCCCCTCCATTACCTGAAGGATCTCAGTAAAGATTAAAAAAAAAAAAAAATCCTGATGACATAAAGAGCAACTCACGCCAGCCTCTGCAGGATGCATTGTTGGATCTTCAAGGCATCGCAGAGAGGCTTCATCCCTTGGTCTGTTACTTGATTTCCTGACAGGCTGAGAGATTTTAGACTCGTGGATGTGGTAAGGACTTGGGAGATCATCAGGTAACAGGTGTGGGTTAATCCACAGCAGTCCAACCTGCAGAGACAGGCAACATGAAACATGTCCCAGTTCTCCTCCAAAGCAACTCATTTCCCCTCACTCAGTGCATAAGAGCTACTCTGGCAATTTGTCTGATCTTCAGATGCTGTTTGCTCCCATCTCAGGATCTGAGCATTTGCTGTTTCTTATATTTACAATATCTCCCAGGTCTTCATGTGATTCATTTTCTCATTCAGGTCTCTTGAATGTCACCTCCTTGGAGCAAGCTGGACTAACCACCTTACTTAAACTGTGCCCAGCCCACCTCACCCCTACTTCATTTCCTTCTATCCAAAATTCTTATATTCACAGCAATAATCAGCAGCTGACATTTCATATATTTATATTTGTACTTGCTTCTTGTCCATCTTCCTGCCTAGAATGCCATCTCCATAGGGGATGTTGTTCCTACTGTATCTTCAGCAGCTCCAACAGTGCCTTGTACACAGTAGGAACTCAAGTATTTGCTGAAAGGTACAACCCTCTGGAGACAACTGGCAGTATTTACAACACTGAATGTGCATCTACCCCTGACCCAGCAATTCTACCCCTAATCTGAAATGTCACTTAATTTGCTATTAAGCCAATAGTTTAACATCTCTATGACCCAATATGAGAGGGGAAGTGATTTGAACCACTTCCAGGCCAGCCTCATAAAACCTCCCTGCTTCCGTACCCTGAAGCTCTATACTCAGGCCAGATCTGGAAGCTGTGTGTTAATGGTAGAGCCCCTGTTAGCCTGTGTGGCATAGGATCACGGTAGAGTCTGAAGCCCTCTTGGACTGTTTACATAGGCAAGGAATCTGTTGTTTCTGAACCATTATACATTGTTGGATGTATTTGCTATGTACTAAAGTATTAATATTCATTTTTTTCTGTTAAATTTTAGACAGACCTTTTAGAGCTCAAACATACGTGCTCATATTGTGTGTGTAAACACATGATTTTTTGTTTGTTTTTGTCTCTGTGTGCTAGCCTGTGAGTCTCATGAGAGTAGGAACCTTGCCTCATTCACCAGCATACCCCTAGAACCAATTATAGTGCTATGAGCATCATAGGATCTCTATATTTTGTTAAATGAAAAAAAAAAAAAAAAAAGAAGCCAAGTCTTTAATATATTTAATCAAAATCCAATCTTTCCAAGTCATCTCCCATTTGAAGAGTTAGCCAATCATGCCATGTCATCCCTCCATCTCATAAGTATTTGGGGGCATAATATAGGTCAGGTGTTCAAAACAGAGCAGTTCCAGGTTCTGGGAATACAGAAGTGAAAGAAATAGACCAATACTTCTGCCCTCATGAATTACCAGGAGGAAAACTCATCATACTTCCAGGAAACTGACTGTCACCTCACACCATGTGACTTTGCACTTAATCCTTCCTTAGCCGTGAGAGGGGAAGTGATTTGAACCACTTCCAGGCCAGCCTCATAAAACCTCCCTGCTTCTGTACCCTGAAGCTCTATACTCAGGCCAGATCTGGAAGCTGTGTGTTAATGGCAGAGCCCCTGTTAGCCTGTGTGGCATAGGATCACGGTAGAGTCTGAAGCCCTCTTGGACTGTTTACATAGGCAAGGAATCTGTTGTTTCTGAACTGTTATACATTGTTGGATGTATTTGCTATGTACTAAAGTATTAATATTCATTTTTTTCTGTTAAGTTTTAGACAGACCTTTTAGAGCTCAAACATACGTGCTCATATTGGGTGTGTAAACACATGATTTTTTGTTTGTTTTTGTCTCTGTGTGCTAGCCTGTGAGTCTCATGAGAGTAGGAACCTTGCCTCATTCACCAGCATAGCCCTAGAACCAATTATAGTGCTATGAGCATCATAGGATCTCTATATTTGTTAAATGAAAAAAAAAAAAAAAGAAGAAGCCAAGTCTTTAATATGATATTTAATCAAAATCCAATCTTTCAAAGTCATCTCCCATTTGAAGAGTTAGCCAATCATGCCATGTCATCCCTCCATCTCATAAGTATTTGGGGGCATAATATAGGTCAGGTGTTCAAAACAGAGCAGTTCCAGGTTCTGGGAATACAGAAGTGAAAGAAATAGACCAATACTTCTGCCCTCATGAATTACCAGGAGGTAAACTCATCACACTTCCAGGAAACTGACTGTCACCTCACACCATGTGACTTTGCACTTAATCCTTCCTTAGCCCTGAGTAGTTTCTCTCCCTCTTCTCTGATACATGTATTATTTACTCCTTGAATCCAAGCTGTAGTTAACCTATTTGTGAAGCACTAAAAGCAAGAAAGAGTAAGAGAAGCTGCCTCTTCTTTGTTCCCAGAGAAGTTGTAAAATCCACACGATATTAGGCAAACACATGCGAGGATGTCTATGCTTTGGCTGACTTCCTTAGGTAACATTTTTAAAAGCGCAGTTCCGTAGTTACCAGGTGAAAACACATGCATGATGCCTGCCCCAACAATTTCTTTCAGTAACTGGGTGGGTAAATTATTCTTTCACAGTTATTGTGTATCAATTAACAAAGCTCAAAGCAGAGTTTACGTTTGTCTGTCTCAGAATACCCTAAACAATGAAGACCAACCTAATCTAAATGACAAGACACACACTCAGGATTTACAAACTGTGGTAACAGTCCCAAACTAGAAATAGCCAAAATATCCCTGGATTAGTGAAGGGTTAAGCTAACTGATATGTTCATACCATATATATATATATATATATATATATATATTTATATATAGCACCCAGCAGTAGAAAGGAACAAACTTGATATACACAACAGCTTGGATGAATCTCAAGGCTAACTGAAGAAAGCCAGTGTCAGGCAGTGACATACTGCTGTGTCAATTCCACTTTTACAGAATTGTTAAAATGAAAGAATTATAGAGAAGAAAAACATGCATGGTTTCCAGGGATTAGGAACGGTGGGGATATGTATGACTACCAAGGAAAAGCATGAGAGTAATGGCTCATAGTGTCTTGGTTGCAGTGATGGTTACGTGAATCTACGTGTGATAAAATGACATAGGATGATGTACATACATGGCACCAGTGTTGATTTACTGGTTTTGATATTGTGCTATAGTTACGTAAAATGTAACCACTGAGGGCCGGCCCGGTGGCGCACTGGAGAGTGCGCCGGTTGGGAGCGCGGTGGCACTCCCGCCGAGGGTTCGGATCCCACGTGGAGACTGGTTCCCGCTCACTGGCTGAGCGCGGTGCGGACGCAACACCGAGGGTTGCGATCCCGTTACCGGTCAGTAAAAAAGACAAAAAAAGGAAAAAAAAAAAAAATGTAACCACTGAGGGAAACTACCTGAGGGGTACATGCAACCTCTCTGTAATATTTAAAAAAACCCTTTGTAAACTTTGATTCTTTTATCTTAATATTTATAACATAAAATTTACTATTTAAAATTTAACTATTTTAATTTACTATTTTTAGAGGGGCACTAACCTCATTCATAGTGTTGTGCAACCATCACCACTTTTTTGCAGAACTTTTTCAGCTTCCCAACTCTAATATTTTTGCAACTTTCTGTAATGATTTCAAAATAAAATAGTAAAAACAGAGACAAAATGTAAAAACCACTCCCAAGACTTACCTCAAAGACTCCAGCAAACAATTAGGGTGTTTCAATGCTTCACACGCTGTCTGTACAGCTTCGTCCTTCAGGCGAGTGCTTCCCAAGTTGAGGTATCTTATGTTACGGTTGGTAATAAGAGTCATCCAGAGATGTTGGAGACCAGGAGCAATCTGTGCATTTTTAAACCTTCAGAATATGAATTAAAAAAAAAAAAACCAGGAAAGACGACTTAGGCACTGGTGACATTGAGTTGTATCCTAATTTTTCCTTCTCACCCTTTTCTCATTCTGACTTTCAAATTTCTGATTATTTGCATTTAATTTCAAAGCAAGGAATACTTGAGAACCTATTATGTGTCAGGCACTGGGAACCGAGTATTGAACAATACTAGCAATCTCTGCCCTCGTGAAGCTTCATTTAGCAGGAGAGACATTCAACAAAGAACTGAACAAAGAATTATGCCTAAGCATGAAATACAGTACAGTTCATTGAGAACGGGACAGAACTACAAATAAACATATATATGTATGTATGTATGTATGTATATAGTCAAGTTGAATAAAAAAGTCAAATGTCAGAATATGTATAATGTAATACCATTTGAATTAAAATATATTCATACATCAATATATATATTTAAAATTGCATGGAAAATTACAAGATGTGAAAGTGGTTAATTAGAGAAACAGGAAGTTGGGGGGTAGTCAAAGGATTAACTTAAATCCCGCTGTACTTCCTGAATCTCTTTACCATTATTATGTATTACTGTTGTATTACAAATACAGTGAGCATAGGGACTAAAGCAAATTACAACATAAAATGGGAATTTAAAACAGGACAGCTAGTGGGATGGGGGATGGTTCCAAGGCAATAACACTTAAGATAACAACTGAAACAGAAATTGAGATTGGCTCAACATCACTAATCATCAGGGACATGCAAACCAAAACCACAATGAGATGTCATCTCACTACAGTTAGAATGGCTGTTGTCAAAAAGACAGAAAATAACATATGCTGGTGAGGATGCAGAGAAAGGGGGAACCCTTATATATATATACACTGTTGGTGGGAATGTAAATTAGGACAGCCTTTATGGAAAACAGTATGGAGATTCCTCAAAAAGCTAAAAATAGAACTACTACATGATCCAGCACTCCCACTTCTGGGTATTTATCTAAAGGAAAGGAAATTTGCATACTATAGAGTTTTCTGCATCCCCGTATTAGTTGTAACACTATTTGCAATAGCAAAGATATGGAATCATACTAGGTGTCTGCGGACAGATGAATGGATGAAGAAAAGTTGGTATATACACACGATGGAACACTACATATCCATGAAAAAAAATGAAATCTTGTCATTAGTGGCGACATGAATGAACCTGGAAGACATTATGTTAAGTGAAAGAAGTCAGGCACAGAAAGATAAATACTGCATGTTGTCACTCATATATGAGAGCAAAAAGAAAAAAAAAACAAGTTGAACTTATAGAACTGGTTACTAGAGGCTGGGAAGGGGAGGAGGGATAGTGAGAAGTCGGTTAATGGACCTGAAATTACAGTTAGATAAGAAAAATAAGTTCTAGGGGTATACTGTTGTGCTGCGCATCTATAATTAACAATAACTTATTGTATGTTCTCAAATGGTTAGAAGAGAGGAGCTCAAATATTCTCACCACAGAGAAATGATAAATTTTTATGATGATGAATTTGCTAACTGCCCTGACTTGATCACTACACGTTATATGCATATATTTAAATATAACTCTGGGCCAGCCCCATGGCTCACTCTGGAGAGTGTGGCGCTGGGAGCGCTGAGGCCGTGGGTTCGGATCCTATATAGGGATGGCTGGTGCGCTCGCTGGCTGAGCCTGGTGTGGACAACACCATGCCGAGGGTTGCGATCCCCTTACCAGTCAAAAAAAGAAAAAAAAAAAAAAACTCTGTAGCCCACGAATATGTAAAATCAATACATTTCAATTAAATAATTAAAAATTTAAACACGGGAATTATCATTTGATCATCACATATTGTACACTAGTACTGAGAGTTAACCCCACAAATATGTATTATCAGGTATGTTCCAATTTAAAAAAATAAATTAGGATTGGTGTAGGATTTAAGGTGGGCAGGAATTATTTGTGTTTCTGGGATCACCAATCTCCTCAGCACAGCCCAGTTTAAAGAAACTGCTTAGGAGAGAGAGAGGCAAGGAGGGGAAGATGTTTGTAGCCGAGAGCCTGACTTACTCTAGTCTTCGGTGTCACAAGGTCTTCACTTGGTCTTGGAGGAAAAAGTGAGTAATTTTTTTTATGACGTAGAACTAGCATTTCATTTCTTACTCCAGATGCCTGGTATAGTGCAGTTGAGTCTACAACCGACCCAGGAACTTATTAGTTGTTCACATATTTACCTTATTAATCAGCCTAAAAGCATTAAGGACTGATTTAAAAGGGTCCCCTAAATCAAGAACTTTGATATTGCAGCTATGTCCCATTCTACCATTTGCCTGAAATAAGCTTCCTACCTTCTTCCCTACTAACTCCTACCCATCTGTCAAATTAACCAGAGCAAAACAACCTTCTTTAGCAGTCCCTTCATGAGGTCTTCATTGCACTCACTCTTCACTCTGTGCTTTTGGGAATTGGGTTCCTATATCTTTCATAGCACTTATCCTCCTCAGAATACGTGGGAATAAGTTTGTGGGGTTGTCGATGGGTACTGTGTACTGTGGGGACCAAGAGCTGTGACACAGTCATGAGAAGGGATTCCCTTGTACTACTGGGGCTAGGCAGCCTTACATCAGATTCTGTATTTTACAGGTTGCAAGCCTCAGCTTGATGCAGAGCGTCTTCATAGCCCATTCATTCAGAATGCTGCTACTCAGGTCAAGTTGTCGCAGATTTGGGTGGGTGCCAAGGACAGAGCAGAAGTCTTCCCACCACTCATCAACAAGGGTCTTGCCTTGCATCCTACGTCAGAGAGGGAGAAACAAATATGTGCTTTCGTTACATGGATTTTAACATGAGCAAGTGCCACAACAATGTCAGAGGAGAAAAACCAGCTATTGAGGCAAGATAGAGGTGGCTTTAGAGACCCTGAGATCAATTTAGTGGAAGCCACCTGGTACTTTATGTGACGAGCCTTATATCCACCCTGCCTCCTGAATATTAAGACACCCCAGGGGTATACTAGAATGAGCCACCAGTTCTTGAATCATATTTTTGCTTAAATTCTAGCTACCCCTTGAGTATAAAATGGTGCAACTGCTATGGAAAAACAGTCTGGAGGTTCCTCAAGAAATTAAAAATAGAACTATCATATGACCCAGCAATCCCACTTCTGGGTATTTACCCAAAAGAACTAAAATAAGGATCTTGAAGAGATATTTGCTCTCCCACGTTCATTGCAACATTATTTACAATAGCCCAGATATGGAAACAACCTAAACGTCCAATGGAAATCCTGCCATTCTGGCAATAGGGATAAATCTGGAGGACACTATGCTAAGTGAAATAAACCAGTCATAGAAGGACAAGTACTGCACGATTCTACTTATGAGATATCTAAAATAGTCAAAACTCACAGAAGCAGAAAGCAGAATAGCAGTATCTAGGGCTTGGGCAGGGGGAAAATAAGGAGTTACTGCTCAATAGGTATGAAGTTTCAGTTGTGCAAGATGAGAGTTCTAGAGACCTGCTGTACAACACAGTGCCTGTAGTTAATATTGTATTCTACAGTTAAAAGTTGGAGCAATTGGACTCCTGTTCACTGGCTGTCATTTCACCTTTGAGTTTACACTTCTACATTCATGGAAAGGGAACTGGCTTACCTTACAGGGTTATCTTGAGGACTAAATAAAAAGTGAATGGATGAACCTGGAGGACATTATGTTAAGTGGAGTAAGACAGGTATACAGAAGGACAAGTACTGCATGATCTCACATATATGCAGAATGAAAGAAGTCAATTTCGCAGAAGCAGAGAATAGAATGGTGGTTACCAGCAGGGCTGGGAGGAGAGGAAGGGGTGGAGATGGTGGTCAAAGGGTACAAAGTTTCAGACAGGAGGAACAAGTTTAGTGATCTATTGCATAGGACTTATGTAGTGATCTATTTAACAGGACTTATTAAAGATCACCATGCTCTGCAATAAGAGATCACTAAATAATAATTCATGCTGTGCAATAGAACGCTAATAATAGTTAAATAGTGACCTTTAAAATAGTTAATAAGAGGTTAGCTAGTTAGCTTACTAAGTTAGAACGTGGTGCCAATAACACAAAAGTCAAGGATTCAGATCTCCATACAGGTTAGCTGCCAAAAAAGAAAAACAAGAAAAAAAACAAAAGAAAATCCAAGCCAACAACCACCACAAAATCTAATAAGGAGAGACAATGAGAGGTTGGTCAATGAATATATAAGTACAGCTCAATAGGAGGAATACTACCTAATGTTCTATAGCACCGTAGGGTGACTAATTAACAACTTATTGTATGCTTTGAGATGAGATCAGGAACGTTTAGAGTACATACTCTCGATTAACTAGAAGAGAGGATGTTACTGTACACCTTCAATTTGCTAGAAAAGAGGATGTTGAGTGTTCCCAACTCAAAGAAATGATAAATGCCTGAGGAAATGGGAAAAAAATTCAGTGGTTGCCAGGGTGTCAGGGGAGCAGGGAGGGAGGGAGGAATAGGTGGATCACAGAGGATTTCTAGGGCAGCAAAACTATTCTGTATGCTACTGTACTCGTGAATACATGACTTTACTCCTTTGGCAGAACCCATAGTACAGTACAACACAAAGATGAAACCCTAATGTAAAATCAAGTTATTAATAATATATCAATAATGGTTCCTAAGCATAACAAATGTACCACACTAATGCAACGTGTTAATAGTAGGAGAAATTGTGTGTGTGTGTGTGTGTGTGTGTGTGTGTGTGTGTGGTGGGGGATATGGGGACTATCTGTACTTACTCCTCAATTTCTCTGTAAACCTTAAATTGTTATAAAAATAAGGTTTATTACATAGAAAAATAGTTAATAATAATGTATTATATATCAAAAACTACCCTTTTAGCAATTTTCTAAGTGTTCTTACCATGAAAAAAATTACATGTAGGTAATGCTAATTAACTGGATTTAATAAGTTCACATAAACCAAATTATCACATTGTATTCCATAAATGTATCCAATTATTTGTCAATTAAAAATAGAAAGAGACATACTAAAAGTAAATGGAAAATACCTGGTACAGTTCTCATTAAATTAACCCATGGTAACTATCATTTTCATGACTATGTGCAAACATAGCTCGCTCAGTGCTTAGCTGGTAATGGTACACATTTTCACCCAATCTACAGGAAAGTTGCCCAGGTTATGAACTTCCCTGGTTGTGGGAAGGACAGAACAAGGTAACAAAGTGTTATTTCTTTCTTCACTGACATGAGCTCCTCCTCTAGCAAAGCAAGCTTCAGTACTTAATTTGTTTTCCAACCAAGAGTAGCTACCATTTTACAAAGGCCTTAGCATGTACCAGGCCCTGTGCTGGACTCTTTCCAGAAACTGATGCAGTTTTAAATCTATGAAGTTGGTGCTATTTCCCCCATACTGTAGATGACCACAGAGCTGGTTAGTGGCAGAACTAAAATTCAAAACCAGGTTTGCCCAGTGTTTTTTGTCAGTGTACACCAGTGGTTGATTTAACTCTGATAGTACTATTAGTTAATATCTATGTATTAAGTGCCAGGCACAGTTCCTAAGTGCTATAAACTGTCTCCTAACAATCTGATAGGTAGATGCCATTACCTCTGGTTTATAGTTGAAGAAACAGCACACAGCAATTGAGCAACTAGTCCAACGTCACACTGTTAGGAAGTAGTAGACATGGGATTTAAACACTGCAGATGGGTGGCATTGTCCACATTTTGACTGGTACCCTATTCTGGGTAACGGGAAGATGGGCAGACAGTCCAGCAAAGCATGTTTTCTAGACCTTCACCATTCAGTACAGTAAGAACTAGCCACATGTGGCTAAATATAAAATAGAAGATTCACCTTATTCTCACGTTTGAAGAGCTCAATAGGCATATGTGGCTGGTGGATACCATATTGGACAAGGTGTTATTGAACATTTTCATCATTGCAGAAAATTCTCTTGGACAGCACTGCTCTGCACCCTTCACTAAACAAGCGGTTCATAAACCTGAACGATCATATTGATAGGAGGAGCTTTAAACCTTCCCCCTACCTCCCTGCCACCCCACCACATTTTCCTGGGTTCTAAACCCAGAGCCTTTTCTTAAATAGTCTTGGGTGAGGCCCAGTATTTTGAAAGAGCTTATCCAGCTATTGATTACGATCCAGATTCAGGCCCTGTCAATATTTCTTTGGCAGTTGACCAGTACGACTGTGACCTTGGTGTTATCAACACCACTCCCCCAAGTGAGTTAACCATCCAGGCCCAGATCCTGTCATTTTAGCCAGCAGGACAATACCCGGGTGATACACCCTCAAGGAGTGATCTGGGACCCTGACATTTCTGGAAATCATGCCAAATTCTGGCAATAGGGATATGGAGACTAAGTAGCTGGTTTAGAATAAAATTGCATGTGGCACTCACCATAGGGGAATCATGGGCCATGCCTTAGCAAGCTCATCCCTTGAGAAGATCTCTTTGACATCCACCCGAATTTTCTGCAAATACTGACAGTGCTGGAGACAGAAAGAAGATACTATCAAGTCCATTTTCTGGTTAATAGGAAGCCGCACTTCCTGGAAATCATTCAATGCCAGGCGAACAAACTCTTCATCTTGAGTCTCAAAAAGACAGTGGAAAGAGTCCAGGATGTCTACTGGGGCAGGTGTGTTGGCCCATTGACCTAATAGAGAGACCCACTGCAGAAGTCCCTGCTTTACCACTAGGGGAATAGGACAACCAAGCAGAACCTCCAGTGCCCTAATCACTTCTTTGTTCATGAGGCCAAACAAGAAATGCTTCATCCAAAGCAAGTGGAAGTTGAAGCCTGTTTGTTTAAGCTCCGCCAAACTCTTTACATTCTCAATAAACAGAGGGAAGGGATCCAGCCCTCTTTCCAACCCCTGCAAAACATAGTACAAGGCAGCACAAAATTCCTGGAGGCTGAGGTGGAAGAAAGTATAACACCTCTCACAATGACTGTCTTGGAGAAGGATGTTCATATGGAACAGAGCAGAGAGTTCAGACTCCCTCAGTCCATGGGCCCTCAGGTCATCACTGTAGAACACAGACTTCATACTCCATACTCCCTTCACAGCCATATGGCAGATGCCCTTCAAGACAGCTCTTTCCTCCTGATTGAGACAGCGCTGGAACGCATCTTGTGGAGTGAGCTGGTGGAGCACAAAAGTGGCGTACAAGCCAGTGAGAGTTTGGCAAATGGGGGCAACACCCTCTCCTGCTGCCTCCTGCATCTGCAGAGTCACACAGATCAGTGAGCACACAGCAGAGACTTGGCACTGGTCAAAGACCTGATGATTGTCCATCACTGAATGTAAGACGTGCATCTTCTGCTGCTCATTTATAACCTGCTCAAGGAGCAACTGAATTCTTCTCTCCACTGAGATTCCTCCAACTAACAGGTAACGGGGAGAAACAATCACCGACTTGAGCTTTTCTATGCCCACATCTGTAGCAGTGATTATTAGGGAGGACTCAGGGAGAAGAACTTTCTTCAGCAGACTATGCATCAGGATGGACACGGGGTGTTTCTCAATCCAGTCTCCACAGAGCTTTGTATAACCATCTTGGATGGCAATATCCAGGTCATCAAAACTATCAACTATAAACAAGAGCCTTTCTGGTTGGGACATGATCTCCATCATTGGAGCCTGGGAATCTGGCCACTCTCTGGAAATTAGCTCTGCAAAACTGCTTTTCCCCATCCTTTGTATTTCTCTAATATGGAGAAAGAAGACATAGGAGAACATGCCCTGGTAGAGTTCACCTTGTGTCCAGCACAACATGATCTTTCTGGCCAAAGCTGATTTCCCAATTCCTGGTTTTCCATGCAGAACCACGGTGCGAGGCTGGAAGCCCCTATGGTCTGGATTAAAAGCACCAACCAGTGTTTGCATTCCTGGCCAGTCAGAAGTAATGTTTTCAAAGCCATGGTATACATCCATCTTTGTGGTGTATTTGGTCATCATGTGACTCTTGTAGTCCCATTTGTCACCTCCATGGTTTGAAGCTGGACAAGAAAGCATAGGGAAATAAAATTACAGGAAACAATTTGAAAAAGGTAAAGATTTTAGTAAAAATAAACCATAAGACAAAAACTCTGGATCCAGGATAACTGAATCATGAATGACATAGGTTTTTGCTACTTTCTAGCAACATACTGTTAATATGCTCCATTCCTCATTCCCTTCCTCAAAGATCATTTCCTCAGAGGTTTCTGAGCATTCCACAGAATAGCTCCTACTTGTCCCTTTAACCTGATTTCTCTTTTTAGCACTTAAGACCTGACATGTTACATTTGTCTGTCTCCCCAACAGACTAATCATGGACTATCTTACTTGCTGTTGGATCTTCAGTATTTGTAACAGTGCCTGGCACCATGTGGGTACTAAAGTATTTGGGAAATGAATAATATATGCCAAACACTCATTTATGTAGTCTCTGAGAGACGAAGCAGATTAGGGAGCTGAGAATGTGTGTACCATGGCCCTAAAGTTTCACCTCCATAGGAGAGGCATGCATCTTGTTTCATCCCCAGGCTACTATGGAGAAATACCTCTGTGCAACAAGGGGATCCTGCTGTACATAAAAAAGGGAGCACATCAGATGGACCAAGCTTGGAATCCAAGCTCTACTGGATAGTATCTATGTGATTTGAGATAAGTTGCTTCTCAGTTTCCCCACCTGATAAAGATTTAAGAATATGCACTTAACATGTATTAGCACAGAGCCTGGAAATATAAGTGGTGCCTATTATCATCAAAACCCATCAAAAACCCTGTTCTACGTTCATCCCAATATTTATCATAAGCTAATTCTTTTATGCATTTATTATTGTCTAGCCCCTAGCTTACAACATAAGCTCCCGTGAGAAAAGCACCTTGTCTTTTTACCTCAGTACCTCCAGCCCTTTCAACAGTCTTTTACCAAATAGGCACTTGATGAATATGGAAAAAAAAATCCATATCCTGGGACCTTAAATTTTCTTGTACTACCATTATCTTAAACAAAACAAGACAAAACCAGCAAGATTCTTTTTGCACAAATGTGTAATATGATGACTAACTCTATACAAAATCTATGTTAAAGTTCTGAAACCTATTCTTCATTATCTTATATCAGGAAAAGCCATTAACAGACCTGTATTAAAGCCACAGGAAGCAGACCTTGAGATCTGAACCTGTATTTGCTGAACTCAGATCAATACACTATCTTAAGACAGAAGATTAGCGATACCACTGGACTGTAGGTTTTAATGGAGGGAAACCCCAGAAAGACAGCCTTCAGTTGAACCCAGGTTGCTTCTTCTATAACCATCTCTTTCTCTTCTGTGGATTTAATTATGTCTATGCTTAAGAGTTCCAAATCTTTCCCTAATGATAACTTCTTCCCTAAAAGTGCAGGCTCATGTGTCTAACTCACCACCTTAAGATGTCACAAGAACCTCAAATTAAAAGCATCAAACTCATTTAATCTTTTACTTCCAGTTAAAGCTTATTTTTTTATAATTTTTCTCTAAGTGATAATTAGAAAGAAGCTTATATTTGTAGGCTTACTTTGGAATGGATATTGAGCTCATCTTTTTAAAAAACTAAATCCACATTTAGCCTCATATCAATCCTCCCTGGTAGTTTGTTCATCTATAAGACAGGAATATTTATATTTTCCTTTACAATGCTGGTATAAGGGAGCCATGGTATAATCCTAAAATGTGGAGAACAGTGCTTGGACCTTAGTAAGTACTCTAGAAGTGTCATCAATATTAGTATTTTTTGTTACTCATCCAAATCTAAAGTTGATAATACTGGCAACTATTAGTTTTTCAAATGCTGGTTGAATTAATGATAAAGTAATTCACACAGGGTCAACATATGTTACGTTATACAGGTGGAATAGAAACCCAGCTTGAAGTAATTTCAGAGCTTGAAATTTTAGTCATTGACTGCGAGCATCACTATCCATCAGACTGTCCAAGCAGAAAGGTGGTTGCAGTTCCTGAAGACTTTTTTTTCTAAATTCCACCAAACACCAAGTTTATTAGTTTTATGTTCTGAATATCTTCCTCAAGCCAAATCACTTCTTTCCATCACTACCTCCTTGCACATGAACATTCATAGCAGCACTATTCACAATAGCCAAAATATAGAGAGAACCCAAATTCCCATCGACTGAAGAATGGATAAAGAGAATGTGGTATGTCCATACAATGGGATACTATTCAGCAATAAAATGAATGAAGTGTGTATACACATTACAACATGGATGAATTTTCAAAGAATTCTCGCAAGTGAAAGAAGCCAATCACAAAAGGCTACATATCATATAAACCCTTTATATGAAATGTGCAGAACTGGTAAATTCATAGAAACAAAACAGATAAGTGGTTTTCTAGGATTTGGTGGGAGGGAGGATACTGTGAGGAACTACTAATGGATATGGGGTTTCTTTTTGGGAGAGGGAAATGGTTTAGAATTAGATCGTAGTAACAGTTGAACAACTCAATATGCTAAAAAACACTGAATTGCACACTTTAAAAGGGTGAAATTTATGAAATATGAATTATATCTCAACTAAAAAAAACCCTCATGCAACATTCCTTCATAGAAGCCTGCTCTTCTTTGTTCAACTCTCATTTCATAGTCATAGCCCCTTGGATCTTGTATTTACTTTATATCTTTGGTTTCATTAATGTATAACTCTGGACTATAAACAACACAAAGTCAAGAAATACATATTTTTTACCACTATAATTTCATCACAGTTCTTCAAATGGTAGGTATTCACTAAATATTGGTTTATAGAAGAAATTTTTAAAAATCAATACTACTTAAGTAATTTTGAACAAAGCACTTGAATACTCCTGGCTCTGGACTTAGCATCTGTCAAAGGAACTTGCGTTTGGTGCTTGAGTATACTAGAATTGTGAGTTTTTTGGAATTTATCTTCATAAAATCTGACAGAAGATAATCAGTGGACTCACATGGCTCTATCCATGGTACTGATTTCAAGAGCTGTTACAAAAGGGACTGACACAGAAACAAATGAGAATGAAGGAAAGTTAACTTCCCTGCCATTTAAGCTACACAGACTTCTCTTTCACCCAATTTCCTCCCAGGATAAAAATGAATAAATCTGTTTTTTTCTTCTTCACCTTGTTCTTTTGTCTCTGTGGCTGTGTCACCATCTTGTTCCATAGCTTGTGAAATTTCTGCAAAAAGGGGAGAAGAATAAACTCCAACATACTTATGTTTATTATTCAGATCAGATGTCAGACAAACAAACAAACCCTCAGATAAGCTTTATCATGCCACATTTTATCTCCCGACCACTTTGGAACATGGCAACCTCTCGCTCAGCAAGAAGAGCAGAGCGTACTGGTACCATGAGCACAAATTCAAAACCTGAAGGCATAGACTCTAGTCTCATTTCTCTTCTTTACTCTTTGAAGATCACTGCATAGGTCATTAAAATGTGGGGTAAAACCTACTGTGAAAAATTAAGGATCTTGAGTCAGACAGGACTCAAATGTAAATTTTGCCATATGCTACTCGTAAGATCTTAGTCAAAGTACTGGAGTTACATTTCCGTATGTTCGTCGATAATGCAAAGGTCATAGTTCCTATGTTGTGAAATTCCTGTGAAGATTTAATGAGATGACTTGGTAGAGTATATGCCTCTGGCATGTAATAGCTACCACTTAGTGGGAATAACCACCATGTATACTCATTAGGAAATAGTTTCATAGTGTGGCTAACTATGAATTTGTCTTAGGTAATGTGGAAATAAATTGTCTATATTTAAGGAATAATCATAAGGGTGGTTGAAGTCTTGAAGATTATAGAAAAATCATAGGCTATCATAAATGGAATAGAAAACCATTTGAGGATTTTAAAGTGCAGAGGTAAAGTTATTAGATGTATATCTTTAAAAGATTACCTTGGTTATTGTGTGAAAAATGGATTGCATGTAACTAGAGTAGAAATAGATTAAAGATTAAAATGAAATGCCCTTAATATATAGTAGATGGGAAAAAATGTGTAGAAATGAGTCATGTAAGAGGTAGAGATCATATGATTCTCTCATTCATTAGGTATAGGATGGAGAAAAGAATCAATAAATCTTACTAAAAAATTACTAAGCTTTTGTTGTGAATAACTAGGTATATAGTAGTGCTATTTACTGATACCGAAAAAAGTGGAGGCAGATATTGAGAACACATTCCTAATAGCTGCAGAATACGTGTTCTTTTCAAGTGCACATGGACTGTCCTTCAAGACAGAGCATGTATTTGACAAAAAGTTTCAAATTAATGTAGATTAAAATAACACGAAGTACGTTCTCTTACCACAATGGAATAAAATTAAAATAACAAAAAAGTGGGAAATTTAAAAATCTGTGAAAGTTAAGCAATGAAACCCTGAATAATGGGTCAAATAAGAAATCAAAGGAAATTAGAAAACACTTTGAGATGAGTGGAAACAAAACGCATCATACATATAACATGCAGCTAAAACAGTGCTTATAGAAAAATGTATAACTGCAAATGCCTATATTAAAAACAATACATCTGAATCATAACCTAACCTCTCACATTAAACTGGAAAAGGAATAGCAAACTAACCCCAAGCAGGCAGAAGAAAGGAAATAAATAGAAATAGAAGAGAGTAGTAATACAGTGGAGGGGAAAATGTCAACAAATCCAGCATCTGATTCTTTAAGAAGAAAATTGAGAAGCCTTTAGTTAGATTGGCCAAGGAAAAAAAAGAAGGCTAGAATTACCAAAATCAGGAATAAAAGAGAGGACTAACAACCTTAAGAAATAAAAAGGACTTTAAGGGAGTACTATGAACAATTGTATGCCAACAAGTTAGATAACCTAAATAAAATGAACAAAGTCCCAGAAACATTCAAACTACTAAAAATGATTTCTGGATTAATAGAAAATCTGAATATACCTTTAACATGTAAAGAGAATGAGTTAGTAATCAAAAAACTTCCCACAAGAAAGTCAGAGGTCCAGATGGCTTGACTAGTGAATTTAACCAAATGCTTAAAAAAAGAGTTGACACCAAACCTTCACAAACTCTTCCAAAATATGGAAGAAGTGAAAACACTTATCAACTCATGTGAGGCCACTATTACCCTGATTTCAAAGCCAGAGAAAGACATCAGAGAAGATCATATCTTTTACAGATATGGATGTTAAATATCTCTTCTAAACATGAATGTAAAAATCTTCAGCAAAATATTTTCAAACTGAATATAGACCATGGACCTGCTGAACCCACAGGTGCACTTAGCAGCCTGCAGCCAGCATGGAGACAGCCCCTCCTCTCCCTGTGACCCTCCACACATTTGCACAGGCACTGGCAGACCTACAACCTCTGGTACCTGGAATCTAGGTCAGACAGAGGGACTGAGACCCTAGCATCTGAGCCCATGCCACACCCCCTCCCCTCTCCACCAGGAGGGTAGGCAGACCAGCTAGGCAGGGAAGCCATGTGTAAGTGGCTATTCTTCACATCCACATGCACCTGCCCTGTACAACCTGTGGACTAACTGAGCCCACGGCTGCCCACACTGGTCAACAACTAGCCTAGTGGTAGCCCATCCTCCCCCTGCAGCCCTTCACAGAGCCATTGGGGCCTGCTGCTTCCTTGCAGGTTTGCTAAAGGCTCAACAGCTGATCTGATGGCCCTCTACAGAGCTGCCAGGACCTGTTGTGCTGATGTATACCTGCTCCAAGACTGACAGCAGACAGGGCAGGGACTTTGATTCTCCTAGGCAGACTTCTACAGAGCTGCTGGGCTCAGCTGCACCCTTGCAGGCTTGCACCAGGCTCAACAGCTGACTGGGCAGCCACCTGAGAGCTGCCAGGCTCTGTGGCACCTGTGTACACCTACTCCCTGACCAACGGCAGATTGTGTAGCAGCTTTTTTTTTTCACAGCATGCCTCTATAGAGCTGCTGGGTCCTGTGGCATCTGTGCAGGCTTGCTACAGGCTCAACAGCTAATGTAGCAGCCCTCTACAGAGTGGCCAAGACCTGCTGCACCAGTGTACTACTGTTCACCGACTGACAGTGGATTAGGCAGGGGCTCCAAAGCAGGCCTCTACAGAACTGCTGGCCCCATAGCCACAACAACCCAGCCCAGGGACACTTACTGCAACATGAAACTGCCTAGGGCTCCACTGCCTAGGCCACAAAGGCACTTACAGACAACTCCAAGATTGAACACAGTTGAAGAAGTTACATGAAGGCTGCACTATTGCACTCACCCAGATATAAATTTAAAATGCCCAGCCTGTCAATATAGAACACTTCTGCAGGAAAGAGTCTCTCCCTTCAAAACCACTCCTAAAATTAAAAGAAGCTACTTCACCACCAGGTGCCCAGAAATCAATGCAGAGATACAAGAAACATGAAAAACCAGGGAAATATGGAAACATGAGTCTCTCAAAAAGACTACAATTCTCTAAAAGCAGACCCCAAACATCAGAAAACCAGTGAATCAACTGAAGAGGTATCCCAAGTAGCAATATTAAGGAAACTCAATGTGATAGACAAAAAATAGATATCACAATGAGGTAAACAAACAAACACACACACAATCCAGAACATGTATGAGAAATTTAACAAAGAGAAACAAAAAAGAACCAAGCAGAAATAGAAATTCGGAAACTGAAGAATTTATTCAACAAAATAAAAGATACAGCTGAGAGCGTAACAAGCTAGAAAAAGCAGAAGAAAGAATTTTTGAACTAGAAGACAGGCTTTTTGAACTAACACAGGTGGACCAAAAAAAAAAAAAAAAAAAAAAAAAGAAAAAAATTTTAAAAAAAAAAAAAAAACAAAAAAAAAAATTTTTGAACTAGAAGACAGGCTTTTTGAACTAACACAGGGGGACCAAAAAAAAAAAAAAAAAAAAAAGTAAAAGAATTTTAAAATAAACAAAGAAAGCATACAAGACCTTTCTGATAACCCTAACATCTGTACTATGGGTGTACTGGAAGAGGAAGAGAAAAAAGGCATTGAAAGCCTATTTGATGAAATAGTAGCCAAAAACTTCCCAGGTGTAGGGAGAATACGATCTCACACATCCAAGAAGTTCAAAGATCCCCAAACAGATTCAACCCCAAAAGGATCTTCATGACATACATTAGTCACATTGTCAAAAGTCAAAGATGAAGAAAGAATTCTAAGAACAGCAAGAAAAAAGTGTCAAATCACCTATACAGGAATCCCCATCAGGCTTGCAGCAGGCTTCTTAACAGAAGCCCTACAGGCCAGGAGAGAGTGGAATGACATCTTCAAAGTACTAAAAGAAAAAACCTGCCAAACAAGATTACTATACCCAGCAAACTCTCCTTCAGAAATGAAGAAATAGTATCCTTCCCAGACAGAAAAAAAAAAAAAAAAAAGCTGGAATTCACCACCACAAGACTGGCTCTTCAATGAATCCTAAAGGAAATTGTACATCTGGAATCCAAAGAGCAATATATATCATTATAAATACACAAAAAGGAATAAAAACTGCTGGTATCATGGATATACAAATTAAGAGAAAGAAAATGATTTTTTTAGTAGTGATAAAGTGCAAAGAGCAAACAAACAATAAAAGAGAAAGAAAGAAGCAAAATAAATATAAAACCATAAAAAATAAAATGATAGGCAAGAGAAATAAAAGGCATCCAAAATGGAAAAGATAAAGTTAAATTGTCCCTTTTCACAGATGACATGATCCTATATACAAAAAATCCTAAAGACTCTACTGATAAACTCCTAGAGCTTATAAATGAATTTGGTAAAGTTGCAGAATACAAAATCAACATGCAAAAATCAGTAGCACTTTTATACTCCAATAATGAACTATTGGGAAAAAAAATCAAGAAAGCAAACCATTTATGGTAGTCACTGAAATAAATAAAATAAATTAAAATAAAATATCTAGGAATAAATTTATCCAAGGAGGTGAAAGATCTTTACAATGAGAACTATGAAATACTGCTGAAAGAAATTAAAGAGGACACTAAAGGTGGAAAGACATTCCATTTTCATGGACTGGAAGAATTAATGTGAAAATGTCCATACTACCCAAAGTAATCTACTGATTCGATTAAATCTCCATCAAAATACTGATGATATTTTTCACAGAAATAGAAGAAATGATCCTATCGTTCATCATATGGAACAAAAGACCCTGAATAACCAAAGAAATCCTGAGGGAATAAATAAAATAAAGCCAGAAGCATTACATTACATTCAAATTATACTGCAAAGCTACAGTAACCCAAACAGCATGGTATTGGCATAAAAACAGACACATGGACGGATAGAAAAGAATAGAGAACCCCGAAATCAACCTATGTACTTACATCTTTGAAAAAATCACCAAGAGCATACTTTGGGGAAAGGACAGCTTCTTCAGCAAACGGTGCTGGGAAAACTGAATATTCATGTGTAGAAGAATGAAACTAGACCCATACACCTCGCCATATGCCAAAATCAGTGCAAAATGGATTAAAGACTTAAATATGACTTGAAACTATAAAACTCCTAGAAGAAAACATAGGAGAAATACTTCAAGATGTAGGACACAGAGACTTGAGAAATAGGCCTCAAAAGCAAAGGCAACAAAAGAAAAAACAAATGGGAGTATATGAAACTGAAAACTTCTGCATAGCAAAGGAAAGAATTAAAGACAACCTACAGAATGGGTGAAAATATCTTCAAACTATGCATCTGACAAGGGATTAATACCCAGAATATACAAGGAACTCAAACAACTTCACAGTGAAAAAACACCAAATAATCCAATTAAAAAATGGGAAAGGAGCTGAACAGACATTTCTCAAGACATACAAATGGCCAACAAATATATGAAAAAATGCTCAAGATTACTTAGCATCAGGGAAATGCAAATCAAAACCACATCGAGATATCATCTCACCCCATTTAGACTGGCAATTATGAAAATGACAGAATAACAAATGCTGATGAGGATGTGGAGAAAGGGGAACCTGACACTGTTGACTGGATTGCAAATTATTCCAGCCAGTCTGGAAAACAGAACAGAGGTTTCTCAAACAACTATAGATAGAACTACCATATGATCCAGCAATCCCACTACTGGGTGTATACCCAAAGGAATGGAAATCATGTCAAAGGGATGCACTCTGTATACCCAAAGGAATGGAAGAATAACAAATGCTGATGAGGATGTGGAGAAAGGGGAACCTGACACTGTTGACTGGATTGCAAATTATTCCAGCCAGTCTGGAAAACAGAACAGAGGTTTCTCAAACAACTATAGATAGAACTACCATATGATCCAGCAATCCCACTACTGGGTGTATACCCAAAGGAATGGAAATCATGTCAAAGGGATGCACTCTGAAGTTTATTGCAGCTCTGCTTACAATAGCCAAGATATGGAATCAACCTAAATGTCCACTGACAAAAGAATGGATAAGGAAAATGTGGCATATAAACACAATGGAATACTACTCAGCCGTAAAAAGAATGAAATTCTGCCATTCTCAGCAACATGGATGAGCTGGAAGAAAATTATGTTGAGTGAAATGAGCTGGGCATAGAAAGAAATACCACATGTCCTCACTCATAAGTGGGAGCTGAAAGAAGAAAAACAACTATCACAATAAATGTGTTTAAGTTTCAGAAGGAGAGAATATAACCATGGTTACTAGAGGTGGGAAAAGTGGAGGGAGAAGGGGGTTAGCAAGAAATTGGTTCATGGACACAAAGAATGATTATGTTTTGTAATGATGAACATGCTAATTATCCTAATTTGATCACACATTGTACACAGGTACTGATACTCAGCTCTGTACCCTACAAATGTGTATAATCAATTATTTTTCCATAATTGATCAATCCAAAATTGATCTATACAATTTAATGTGAAAGTGAAAAGACAACTCACAGAATGGGAGAATACATTTGCAAATTAAATATTTTCTAAGGGTCTAGTGTCTAGAATATATAAAGAAGTATTACAACTCAATAATAAGACAACACAACTAAAAATGGGGAAAGGATTAAATACGCATTTCTCTGAAGAAGATATAGAAATGTGCAATAAGCACATGAAAATATTCTTAACTTGATTAGGGAAATTCAAATCAAAACCATGATAAGTGGTTACCAGAGTCTGGGAAGGGTAGGTCGAAGTGGGGATAGGGAGAGGTTGATTAATAGATATAGAATTACACCTAGATAGAATAAATTCTAGTATTTGATAGTAGTGCTGGGTGGGTCCATAATTAACAATTTATTGTGTACCTTCAAATGGGTAAAACAGGAGTTCTAATGTTCTCATCACAAGGAAATAAACTTGTGTAGTGATGAATAGGCCAATTAGCCTGATTTGATCACCTCATAGTGTATACATGTATCGAAATATTACCATATGCCATAAGTATGTACAATTATTATGGGTCAATTAAAAATAAAAATTAAAAAACCCCAAAACAAATCAAAACCACAATGAGACACTATTTTGTACCCACTAGGATGTGTGTAATAAAAAGACAACAGCAAATGTTATTGGAACCCTAACTGTTGGTGGGGATATAAAATGGTGCAATAAGTTAGAAAAACCATCTGCCAGTCTCACAAAAGGTTAAATGGAGATACTATATGACCCATCGATTCCACGCCTAGGTTTAAACCCCAAAGAAATGAAAACATGTCTATACCAAAAGCTTGCATATATATGTTCATAGTAGTATATTTCATAGGAGCAAAAAAGTAGAACACAAATGGCCATCAATTGATGAATGGATTTTTAAAAAGTGGTATATTCATACAATGGAATGTTACTCAGCAATAAAAAAGAAAGAAGTGCTGTTATATGCTGCAACATACCATTTTCAAAGTCTATCCAAGTGAAAGAAGCTAGTTACAAAAGATCACATATTGTATGATTCCATTTATATGAAATGGTCCAGAATGGGCAAATTCATAGAGACAGAGAGATTAGTGGTTGCCTACGGCTTGTTGGAAAAGGGAATAGGGAATGATTGCTAATGGGTATGGGTTTTCTTTCTGGGAGAGGAAAATGTTCTGGAAGTAGACAGTGGTGACTGCTGGACAACTTTGTGAATATACCAAAACCCACTGAATGGTATACTTTAAAAGGGTGAACTTTATGGTATGTGCATTATATCTCAATTTTAAAAAGCCTCAAGCAACATTTCCTCAGGGAAGCTTGCTCTGATTTCCTTCACTGGTCAATTTCTATTTTACACTGTGACAGCTCCTTAGATGTTGTCTTCATTTTGTAACTTTTTTTGTCTTGATAATATAGAACTCTGGAATAGACACACCATGAAGGCCATATATTCCCATCACAGTTCTTCAAATGGTAGTTATTTACAAAATACTTGTTGATGGAATAAATTATGGAAAAAACCTCTACTATTTAAGTAATTTTGAGCAAAGCACTTGACTACTCTCAGCTCTATGTTTAGAGCCAGTCAAATAAGTTTGTGCTTGATGACTGAGTTACTAGAATTATGGGTCTTTGGAATTTGTCTTCATCAAAACTGACTGTAGATAATTACAGTGAACAGACATGGCTCTGTCCATGGTTTTGTACACAAGAGTGCTTAGGGAAGGGACTAACATATTGGAGACAAATGAGATAAAGAGGAAAAGTGGACTCCCATGCCATCTGAACTACATAGACTCCTCTTTCACCCAGATTCCTTCCATGATAGCAAGAAAAGAATAAACTTATTTTTTCACCTTGTTCTTTGGTCTCTGCTGTGCCATCGTCTTGTTTCATAGCTTGAGAAATTTCTTCAAAAGAGAGAGAAAAAGAATAAATTCAAACATACTTATGTTTATTATTCAAATCAGAGATATCAGATATCCCCCCAAAACCTGAGATAGGTTTTTTAATGCCATATCTTATCTTCTGGCCAGTTTGGAACATGAGAAGCATTGGCTCAGCTATAGGTGCAGAATGTACTAGTACATTAAGCACTTGATTCCAAATCAGAAGATTCCAAAATCAGAAGTGTATTTCTATACAGTGGCAATAAAAATAAAATTAAGCCAATTTCATTTACAATAGCATAAAAACAACAAAATATTTAGAAATAAATGTAACAACTGAGGTGTAAGACTTGTATACTGAAAACCATAAAACATAATTTAAAAAAACTAAGAAAATCCTAAATAAATGTGTTCATGGGTTGGAAGACTTATTTTTAGTGTGGCAATATACCTGACATTGATCTACATAATTTAATACAATCTACAACAAAAATCCCAGCTGCTTTTTTTTTTTTCTTTCTTTTTGGGCAGAAATTGTCAAGCTGATCCCAAAATTCATATGAAAATCCAAGGGACCATTAATAGTGAAACAATCTTGAAGACAAGTTGGAGATTTCAAAACTTACTATAAAATATCAGTAATTAAGTCAGTGTGGTACTGGCAGCAGGACAGGCATACAGATCAATGGAATAGAATTGAGAGTCCAAAATAAACCCATATATCAATGGTCAACTAATTTTAGACAAGAGTACCTATTCAATGGGGAAAGAATAGTCTTTTCAGCAAACGTTGCTTAAGCTGGATATTCACATGCAAAATAATGAAGCTGGACCCCCCACCTCATGCCATCTACAAAAATTAACTCAAAATGGATCAAACACTTAAATACTTTAAAGAGCTATGACTATAAAATACTTAGAAGAAAATATTGGTGTAAATATTATGATTGGGGGTTAGGCAAAAATTTGTTTTTTTTGATAAAAACCAAAAGCACAAGCAATCAAGACATAAATAAAATTACCTTCGTAAAAATTAGAGCCTTTGTGCTTCGAAGAACACTACCAAAAAGAAAATGAAAAGACAACCCAGAGAATGGAAGAATATGTTTGCATATCATATATCTTCTAAGGGTCTAGTATTCAGAACCTACAAAGTAGTATTACAACTCAAAACTAAACATAATGCAATTAAAAATGGGCAAAGGATTTGAATATACATTTCTTTGAAGAAGATATAGCAATGACCAATAACCACATGAAAATATTCTCGACATGATTAGGGAAATTCAAATAAAAAATCACAATGAGATACCATTTCACACCCACTATGATGACTATAATAAAAATTCGGGGAGTAGCAAACGTTACTGGAACCCTCAGGTGGGGGGGTGCAAAAAGATGCAGGCACTTAGGAAAGACAATTTGGCAATTCCTTGAGAAGTTAAACATAGTTGCCATATGACCCAGCAATTCTGCTCCTACATATATAGGCCCCCAAATTAAAAACATGTCAACACAAACTTGGACATAAAGATTCATGGCAGCATTATTCATAATAGTCAGAAAATGAAAACAACCCAAATGTCCATCAGGTGATAAATGGAGAAAAAAAAGTGGCATATCCACAAATAGGATATTGTTTAGCCATAAAAAGGCATGAAATATGGATACATACTGTGAACATGGACAAACCTTTGAAACATTGTGATAAATGATGGAAGCCAGTCACAAAAGGCCATGTACTGTATGGTTCCATTTATATGAAAGGTCCAGAGTAGGCAAATTCAGAGACTGAAAGTAGATTAGTGATTTCTGGGGGATGGATGTTGAGAGGAACGGGAATGATTGTTAATGGTTATGAGGTTTCTTTTGGGGGTGATGAAAATTTTCTGGAGTTAAATAATAGCGATGGTGGTGCAACTTGGTTAATATACTAAAAACACCGAATTGTATTAAACAGGTAAATTTTACAGTATTCAGATTAAAAAAAAGTTAGAAGTATGAGAATTACAGGTCAACTAATCAAAACACAGATGCTAAATTGTAAATGAAATACTAGCAAACTATAGGGCTTGTCATTTAACTCAGTTGGTTAGGGCGTGATGTGTTATAACACCAAGGTTAAGGGTTCAGATCTCCTTACAGGCCAATTAAAAAAAAAAGGTATTAGCAAACTGTATCCAGAAGTGTATGAAAAAGATACTTTTTAATGCTTAAGTCATATGTATTCCAGGAATGCAAGAATGGTTTAGCATTAGGAAAAAAATTTGTATCAGTATTACATTATCACAGTCACATAGAAAATTACAAGATTATTTCAAAATAGGCAAAAATAAAACAGGCATGAGGAATATTTTTGGAGTGATGGAAATGTCCTAAAACTGGATTGTGGTGGTAACTGCATAAGTCTGTAAATTTGTTACAAATTCTTGAATTGTATCTTTAAGATTCTGTGATATGTAAATTAAACTCCAATAAAGCTTTCAGAAAAAAATTAAGACACAAGGGGAGGAACAGGGTTTTTGTTGGGGGGGGGAAGTATATTAGGAGCTATTTCTTATAATACATTTAATCTATTAGACTATAAATAAATGAATCAACTAAGGATAAAGGGATCTGAAATTATATACAATTATAAGATCTAACACAAAGATGACAAGTCTCAGTCTCGAAAACTAGGCTTTGTACTGGTTGATTCACCTTAGGAAAGTCAGTCTCTGTGGATTTCAGATTCATCACATGTACAACTGATTTCAAATCAGTGGATTTCAGTGTTTTCCTTAGAGATTTTTGGGGGGTGTAATAGCTTTATCAAAATAAAGTTTACGAATCATATACTTTAATCATGTAAAAGTGTACATTATGGTTTTGAGAATATTCAGACATGTGTAACCATCACTACCATCAATTTTAGAACATTTTCATCACTCCCAAAAGGAAGTTCTTCCCCCACACCAGTCATCATCTCCTAAGTTCCCCATCCACCCCCTAATTTTAAGCAACTATTATCTAATTTTGAAATCTAAATAGACTTATCTATTTAGACATTTTATGTGAATGGAATCATACGGTATTTATCTTTTGGTGATGGGCTTCTTTCACTTAGCACAGTGTCTTTAAGGTCCATCCTCATTGTAGCATGTATTATAGTACATTATTTCTTTTTATGGCCAAATGCCATTGTGTATATGTGTACCACATTTGATTCTGGGGATTGATTAAAAAACAGCATTTATTGGGTTAGCTTAGGTTTCAAGGTACCTCTTTCCACAGATGAAGACTTTGACAAAGGAATGTGATCTAAGATGTAAACTCTTTGAGGGTAGAGCCTCTGTCTTCCTCATGGCTCTACTCTTCGTACATAATAGGTATTTTGCCTTAATCCATTACGAGAAGAACATACTACAGCTAGCTCGAAGGTCCATGAACAATGGAGTTTATAGGGAGAACAGCCTCCCAAGTCAAGCTACAGTCCTGTGCTGAGATACCAAGCCACCACAGCCACATCAGAAGCAGAGCTGCCCACGTCAGTCCAGACTGTACAAACCATACCACTGCCTATTGAAAGACCCATGAGAATAAATGCTTACTATTATATGCCATTGCAATTTTGAGCTTGTCATGCTGTAGTATTATCATAGCAACAGCTAACTGATACAGAAATTGGGGACTGAGCTTTGGGGAATAGAAAATGACAGGATGACAGGACAGAAAAAAAAAAAAGAGGAAGAAAATAAATCTCTATTGTCTCCCATCATGTAAACCAGGACAAGGGAACTTACAAAATCCTGTCTCTTTCATTCCCCCTTTGATTCTCTTGTTAAAATCTAGTTGTGTAGCTCATAGAGATGTTTTAACAGTGAGAAAAGACTATAGAGAAGTGAAGTCATCAAATGAGGCAGTATAGTATAGTGGTTAAGCTCTCAGGTACTGGAGTCACATATCTCCTGCACAAGCCCAGTTTGCCCCAGCATAGCCATGTAAGATTTGGCATGCCATTTAGTCTCCGGGTTTCAGTTTTGTGACTAGACAAGTTTAATAACAGTTACTACCACACAGGATTCTTTTGAAAATTATACGCTAAAGCACATGGCACAGTGCTTGACCCATAAGGTCTTAAGGAGTGGTGCTTCTTGTGCACAATGATAATTTAGAGGAATTTCTTAATGTGGTTGTCACAACCCCTGTTTTTGTCAGGTTTGTTTTGGTTCATCTGCTAAGATTAGTCTGTAAGTGTGGCTCTTTGATACCACCACTAAGCCACCATTTAGTCATTTATAAAAACTATAAGATACAATTTTATCACTTCAAGGATAATAACATGGAGCACTCACTGTGTTAAGCCTGGATTTACATTAAACTTTCAGCAATTTATGACCTCTGGGATTCTGAGTCTCTCTAGCTTAGGTATCAATTACTCAGACTTTAGCTTTCAAGGGTGCTTTTATATCCACAGCCTGAACAAAGCTGAACTGTTTTCTGATCAACACCAGCTGCTGGAAGATTATCAAGATAATGGTAGTAGTGTGGGTAATAGTGGGAAATACATGTTGTCTGCACAAGCCTGCATTTCTCCTCATATGTTTTGCCTTCACCGGTTTAATATTTTGTTCTTTTGTCTCTCCTGTCCTCTACTGAAGTGCGAGTCCATGAATGCAGGAGATTCACATGTACTTCGGCCATGGATGTATTGTATGTACACAGAGCATCTAGGCACACCCTGCATCTAGACAGTGCTCAAATGTTTGGGGAATTGAATCTGGTTGCATGCTATGTGGTTCTCTCCAAAGCCTCCAAAACAGGTTATTAGGAGAACCTTGTCCTAGTGGGGTCATGAAGTTACCCAAAATGAAGATGAAAACCCTATGAGTTGTAAGAAAACATTAAGACTACAGGACTCTTGGTCTTAGAATAAAAAAGACTAGAATTACTGAATTCTCAGAACCTACCTGATCTGCTAATGATGAGGTAAAAGACTAGAAACAACACTGAACTATCAGAAGTCATGGTTCTAGTCCTGGAGGTGCAACTGCTCACCATGTGGCTTTAAGCACATCTGATTTTTCTACCACTCCCACACTAACCTGGTAATGTGTCCTTGCTTAGTCCTTGGTCAGTCTTTATCGGTTCAGAATCTTCTGGTATTTTAGCCAGTGAATGTTCTGCAACAGAAAAGGGATAATGGTCGTGATAAAGTCACAGCAATCACCCTAGCCAGGAATGAGACCACCTCCCGGCCCAGTCTATATGTTGCAAAACAGCTCTTCCTGTGTTTCCTGGGATGAGATCGTGAAACCCCATTCACCTAGTTCCTCACGGCAGGAACTGGGATATCATCTCTGACACTGTATTCTCTCCCCGCATTTAGTCCTTAAAAAGTTTTGTCTCCTTCTGAAATGTCTTCCAATTCCATTTCTACTTCTTTCTGTAACTCCCATCACCACCCTAGTCCAGGCCACCTTTATTTTTCTCATGGAATATTAGAATGGGCTCCTAATGGGTCTCCCCACGTCTACTCATAACTCTTGAGTCATTCAACACTTCAGCAACAGTACTGAAAGGCTAATTTTTACTTTATTTATTTATTTATTTATTTATTTTCCTTTTTTTTGTCTTTTTTTCGTGTCCGGCAATGGATCGCAACCCTCAGTGTCGCGCCCGTACCGGACCGGGACCGGCAACGGGATCGCAACCCTCGGTGCTGCGCCCGCACCTCGCTCAGCCAGTGAGCAGGAACCGGTCTGTATGTGGGATCCAAACCCTCAGCGGGAGCGTCGCCGAGCTCCCAAGCGGCGCACTGTAGCAGTGCGCCACCGGGCCGGCCCTAATTTTTACTTTCAACCTTTTAAAACTATTTAATTGTTTATACATACTATTAAAATTATTTTCAAAATGCAGTGTTATCTGATTTCTAGTCCATCCCTCCATCTTCACCTCCTTCCCACGCTCCATGATCAAGCCAAGCCCTTTCTTTGTTAAAGGCTTCATAACACTGCTATGTTTTGCTCACAACGTTCTTCTCAACCATGCCCAATCAACTCAGCTAACTCCTTTTCTTCATTTTTTTTTGTCTTAGGCTAAAGCTTCTGTGTTCTAAAAAGTGATTTTAGACTTCACTTTTCTCTAGTCTGGAATAGGAGCCTCTCAAATTTTTCTACTATTCATTTTTAAAATTGCCCATTTATCTCTCTTCCCTTCCACAACTCAAGGCTATAAATCTCTGGCACTTGACACATGAGGACTTAAATTTATGCTAAATGAATGTTAAATAATGGACCTCATTTTTGTCACTTTTTAGCTCATGAACTTGGTCAACTTAAGTAACTTGGTAGAGCTTCTATTTCAGCTTCTTCTATGGACAATCTATTTTATTGGGTTGGGTTAAGAATCAACAGCAGGGCACATGAAAATTTCAGCATAGTACCTAACCTATGGTACTAACTCAGTAAACATCAGCTATCATTTTAGGTTTTTTACCCTCACTTTCTGCAGATAATACCAATGTCTTCCACACAAAGGCTTTTCAAAGTTCAGAAGGGGTAGCTCTTCAAGTCCTTTGCAGCTATAGCTGCTGAGCTATATCTAGGTGACTAATGTCAAGGTGACTGCTGTGTAGGCATGCAATACTCAGTCGCTTGGGCCAATTTTGCTACTCACTGCTGGGACTCTAAGTTTTCAGCTCACAGTTGAAAGAAGTTTCTCCTTATAAAGGAGAACTACTATTTTTTAAAATGACCTTTTTCCTAAATACCCTAAAATAATCACACAATCTAATCTAAGTCCATCAGCTGTAATATGGGCACCAGTCTAAGTAAGACCAGTCCTTACATCACTGCCTTGAACCTCAGTTCTTCAGCGTGGGGCTGAGGGGGAGGCACCCACTGAACTACCACCACAGTGTTCTCTTACAAACGAAGCTTTGTGAGCCAGTTTCTTTACATTATCTTATTGAACTTTTGCAAGGGCACATATAGTATCACAGCTCCTATTCCAAGATGTGGAATCCAAGGCTCAGAATAGGAGGACACTTGCCCAGAGTCACACAGGTTACAAGTGGAAGCTCCAAAACTCAAGCTTAGCATTTACAATCCAAATGCTGGCTATGAATTTCAACTGAATTATGTCACGGGAGGAGCTATCTGCCCATTTCCATTCCTCCATTCTATTACAGGCCGGAGACCACATTAATTTCCAGCTAGTCAGGATGACCAAGGAGTTACTTCTCACAGTTCAGACTCACAGAAGAGGTAGACCCAGTTACAGAACAATAATTCTCCTTCTCCATGGGAACTTGGGATTACCTTCTTTCACTCCTACCCTTAAACTTGCCCCAAGTTTTACTTACTTTTCATCTCCTCTCTTGCTTTCTCAGAGAGTAATAACAGGCTCATCTCTTCAAAGATGTTAATGGATATGTCCCAGGCAAGAGGTCCTGTATAATACTCGTGCAAGAGCAAGGCTAGACATTCCACGTTGGCATTATCCACTTCAAGCCATGGTAGAGAGCATGTCGACAATTCTGAAGACTTTTCCTTTAGTAATTCCTTAAACGTCTGAAATTCTTCCTTGTTTAGCTCCTTGAGGTACCACTGAAGTCCATAGTTGGAAAAGGAGGAAAATTCCATCTTGATTCAAGGCTGAGCGCTCAGGTGTTGGTGAAAAAGTGGACTCTGGTTATATGGAGTAAGTGGGACCTGTGAGAAGAGTGACCAGATTCAAAAGGGAATCTTAGCTACTGTCAATAGTGCTGCAATAAACACGGGAGTAGCCAAGCTGTGGAGTTAATTTAAGTGTCCAACAATGGGTAAATGGATAAAAAAAATGTGGTATATGAAGTAAAATACTATTGAAATACTATTACACAATGAAATACTATTCAGCCATAAAAAAATGAAATCCTGGGCCGGCCCGGTGGCGCACTCGGTTGAGTGTGGCACTTGGGAGCGCGGCTCCCGCCGAGGGTTCGGATCCCATATAGAGACTGGTCCGCTCACTGGCTGAGCGCGGTGTGGGCGCGACACCGAGGGTTGCGATCCCGTTGCCGGTCGCGGTACGGGCGCGACACCAAGGGTTGCGATCCCGTTACCGGTCACGAAAAAAGACAAAAAGGAAAAAAAAAAAGCGAAATCCTGTTATTTGCAACAACATGGATGGACCTGGAAGAGAGTATGTTAAGTAAATAAGCTAGGCACAGAAAGACAAATGCCACCTGATCTCACTCATAAGTAGAATCTTAAAAAAACTGATAATATAGAAGCAAAGTAGAATAGTGATTACCAGAGACTGGGGACGGAGGAAGGGAAACTGGGAGAGATTAGCCAACGGGTACAAAATTACATTTAGGTAGAAGGAATAGGTTCTGGTATTCTAATTGCATAGTAAGTTGACTCTGGTTAACAGTTTAGTTTTGTATTTTACATAATAGCTAGAGGAGAGGTCTCACCTCAAAGAAATGATAAATGCATGAGGTGAATGGTCTCACCTCAAAGAAATGATAAATGCATGAGGTGATGGGTACACTAATTACCCTGACCCAATCATTATACAACATACATATGTATCAAAACATCAGCTTGTACCTTATAAATATGTACAATTACAATGTGTCAATTAAAATAAATTTTAAAAAGGGAATCATGCAGCAAATTCTCAAGTTCACATATCTAATCTCAATAAACTTTCTTAATGAAAATTTTCTACTCCTTTTGCAAAACAATCTGAGAAAAGCCCAACTCACAGGTAATAATTCTTTACAGACAGAACATTAGTTGCCATCATCTCTGTTTATCCTGTTACTAGAATATAACTTCTGGGATATTTTGTTGCCTGTACCCTTAGTACCCAAAACAGTGCCTGGTACAAAATAATATTCAGCTGAATGGTCTTGGGTAATATGCTATATTCAAGGAAACTTGCAAATAGGTTCTCACCAGTTATTGACAACCAGTTACACAGTTTTTAGAACAGTTGAGTCCTGTTGTGCCTGTTAACATAACATCTAGCTACATAAACATAGTAAGCAGTTTTGATATTAAAAACTGAGATGGAGGTAGTGGTTACACAGCATTGTGAGTGTAATTAATTCCACACAATTGTATGTTTAAAAATGCTTAAAATGGATATTCTTATATGTATTTTACCACAATAAAATAATTTTTTGAAAGTCATTTCTGATAAGAGACTTATATCTAGGTAATATAAACACTTATAATAAAGCAGCAATTCAATTAAAAATGGGCAAAGGAGCTGAACAGACATTTCTCAAAAGAGGACATACAAACGGCCAACAGGTACATGAAAAAATGCTTGACATCACTAATCAGAGAAATGCAAATCAAAACCACAATAAAATATTTCACCCTACTTAGAACAGCTATTATCAAAAAGACAGAAAACAACAAATGCTGGTGAGCATGCGGAGAGAAGGAAACTCATACATTGCTGACGGGAATATAAATTAGTACAGCCATTAGGGAAAATAGTATGGAGATTTCTCAAAGAACTTCAGATAGAAATATCATATAATCCAGCAATTCCACTACTGGGTATATATCCAAAGGAATGGAAATCATGTCAAAGAGATGCCTGCACTCCCATGTTTACTGCAGCTCTGCTTACAATAGCCAAGATTTAGAACCACATAATGGAATACTACTTAGATATAAAAAAAAAAAAAAGAATGCAATTTTGCCTTTCACAACAATATGGAAGAGCTTGGAGAAATTTATTAAGTGAAATAAGCCAGACACAGAAAGAGAAATACGGCATATTTCACTCATACGTGGAAGCTAACAACGTTGATCTCATAGAAGTAGAGAGTAGAATAGTGATTACTAGAGACTGGAAAGAGAAGGGAAGGGAGATGGGGAGAGGAAACAGAATTGTTTCAATGGAAACAAAATTGTAGAGAGAAAAGAACAATGTCTAGTATTCCATAGCAATACAGTGTGATTACAGTCAAATCACTATATAACTTCAAGTACGTAACTGAGAGGATTTTGAATGTTTCTAATACAAGAGGTGACAAATGCTTGAGGTGATGGATATGCTAAATACCCTGATATGATCATTTCATACTGTATGAATGTACTCAAATATCACACTGTACTCCATGAATATATACCATTATCATGGGTCAATTAAGGAAAAGTAAATGAAAAGAAAAAAGAAAGAGTAGAATAGTGGCTGCCAGGCGAGGGGGAGGGAGAATGGGGTGAAGCTGGTAAATAGGTACAAAGTCACAAAGTTAAAGTCAAAAGAATAAGTTCTGGTGCTCTAGGACGACTACAGCTAATAATATTGTTTGTACATTTCAAGACAGCTAGAAAAGAGATCTTGAATGTTCTAACCACAAAGAAAGATAAAGGTTTAAGTGACTGATATGCTAACTATCCTGACTGGATCATTATATAATGTATGCATGTATCGAAACAAACTGTACCCCACAAAAATGTCAATGAAAAACATATATAAATAAAATGGGCACAGGATCTAAATAGATATTTCTCCAAAGGTATACAAATGACTAATAAGCACATGAAAAGATTACTATCACTAACCATCAGGACAGATTGTCCCTCTCCACCCCCTAACTTGTTTTATATGTATGCATTTAGGGCATCTGCTATGTGTTGTTTCTCAAAGTTGTTCAGAAGGCTGGTCTATGAGGACATAAAAATGTAGCACTTGTTAGTACTTTAATGTCCCAGGAATAATACTTAAATCTGTGGAATTTCCTCTTTTGCTATTATGTGACCTCTATCAGTAGTGATGACCAGTACTAGTTGGCCATTTGGGGCTTATCTGGTTTTCCCCAACCAGTACTTTGTGGTAGAAAATAAAGCAATTGAAGAGATGCCATATAATAAAACATTTTAAAGACTCAGGTAGATGGCAGCTTGCCATTTTCTGAGGAGTAATATTGGAGTGGAAGTTACCTTTGCTTGGCATCTGTGCATTTATAGTAGTTTTCTCTTGAGCCTGACTTGTAGTTACAGAGTGTCTTAGTCCGTTTTGTGTTGCTATAACAGACTTACCTGAGACTGGGTAATTTATAAAGAAGAGAGGTTTATTTGGCTTACAATTCTGGGACAGCTGCATCTGGCATGGGCCTCAGGCTGCTTCTACTCATGGCAGAAAGTGGCAGGCAGCTGGTGGGTACAAGCAGATCACATAGCCAGAGGAAGCAGAACAGAGCGAGGACGTGCCAGGGTCTTTTTAAGCAACAAGCTCTCACGGGAACTAATAAAGCGAGAACTCACTCATCAATCACCCCCCCCCCCCGAGAGCATTAATCCATTCATGAGGGAATCGCCCTCATGACTCAATTTCCAACACTGCCACATTGGAGATCAAATTTCCACATGAGTTTTGGAGGGGACAACATATCCAAACTCCTTCACAGAGTAAGGTCTTTCTAGCCTCCTTCCTGTTACCAGAAGCGTCCATTAAGGTATAATCAGTCAACACTAATTTTTGCTATTGCTTAGACAGATTAGGGCAACTGCTTTCTGCTTCCTTGATCTACAGAGACAAACTTGTTCCTAGTAGTAAGTACCTATCTGTTTTTCTGCCTGCCATTCTCTATAGGGAAGTTAAGAGTAGTTTGCTAAGATTACTTCAATTAGTTATGAGTCAAAGGATAAACAGAAGCTGAAATAAAAATTATAAAAATACATGAAAGAAAACATTGAAAGAAGAGTTGGAGTGGGTAACGAGAACATAGAGCTACCATCAAAGCAAAGTTCTAGATTTCATAAGTATTTCCAACACTGTTCTAATTTAGTAATTTATCCTGCACTAAAAGATGAGGTGGTATGCACAGGCACAAGCTTTCCCCATAGGATACAGAAAATGGGTCATCACAAATAATATCTTTATGGGAAGCATCTCTCCAAAGATTTCAGAGGTGGCATTCCCTAGACAATTGCCATGGATTGACCAACTGCCTAGAGAAGCTAATTTTTTTCTCCTGCTTTCTTTCATTTTCTTCATTTTTTCTTTGCATTCCAAATAGAGCTCTGCTACAATGAATGGCTAATAATATTGTGGCACTATCTGTCTAGTTAATTAGATCCTCATACTCGTGATACCAAGGCTGAGGGTCAGATTTTACATAGGTAACTCAGTTGTAGGAGAGTATAAACTTAAATGCAGGTTCCCAGATCAGAGTGGCAGCTCCAAATTCAAGTCCTATTTCTGCAACTTTCATGGTATGTCCCCTTTGCAAGTAAATGAACCTCTCCCTGCAACTGGGCTCTCTCCCAAGGTTTTTGTGAGGTTTCAGTGAACACAAGTGCAGCAGCCGAAAAACTGGCACAGAATGAGCATGTGAATGCTGAGCAATATCTGTTGTAACAATTACATACTAGGAATGAGACTTCTTAAGCAAAATAGTATGATATGAAAACGAGTACTCTGGCTTAACACACTGCTGGGGACATGTTTTGATTTAGCATAATCTCACTTATATGAGAGTACTTCAAAAGTTCATGGAAAAATAGAATTAAAAGATAATATGAATGTTTCCATGAACTTCTGGAGTACCCTTGTATGTGGAATCTAAAAAAGTTAAACCCACAGAAGCAGAGAGAATGGTGATTGCCAGAGCCGGGGGCAGGGGAATGGGGAAAAGGGAGATGTTGGATAAGGGGTACAAGTTTCAGTTAGATTGGAGGAATGAGTTTGAGATCTATTGCACAGCATGGTGACTACTATTAATAATTTA